GTTTTGATTAATCTGATAGGCCAATGAGCCACGCTTAGACCAGTTTTGGTTATTTGCGATAGCATATCAAATTCAATTAGTTAGTCCATGAGGATGTTTCCGTTGACGCAAATGCTTACAGCATAGTCTTACCAATGCGGTACTAGTGTACAAGAGATAATTCTGTGTTTCCCTAGTTCCTTGCTTTAGATATTTCTTGCAGGCTTCTCGAAGTGTCAGCTACATTCGGCGGGCCTGTGTCGCCACCAGTGACGTATTTCGATCATATTCCTACAGTCTCTTCTGTCTAGTGCCAATAGCAATTTTTTGTACTTCCAATCTACCGTTTTGGCCAAATTAGCTTGTTCCACCGGGTTTTGATTTTCTTTACCATGCTTCTGTCGATATCGTCATTGACAACATTTTTGGGCGTTAGCCGTACACCATTCGTGGCAAGGTCGTCCACTCTTTCATTGCCATCGATTTCCTTTATGATCTAGCAGAAGTGAAGTTGATTGGTTCTGGCAACATTTTCATCTGCTTCCCTGCTTCTCATGACACTTCTGGACGATATGCTATACGAGGTTACTGCCTTGCCTTGCTGCTTGGCTGCCTACGTAGATGTTGACTTTGGAATAAGCTGCAGCTGCATTAGAACCAGTTCTATGACTGTCGCAATATCAAAGAAGCTGACTTCAAATATACTGCGGTGATCCTACAACTTAAATGGATGTCTTATGCCTAACTCTGGACAGCATATCTCTGCTCAAATTGCATCCTCCATTTTCGAGCCATACATATAAATATTTAGAGTTGATCGCGCAGCTAACATAGCTTTACGGCAACCATCTTTTTCAATGTTTACTTTGAACTTTTTTTCGCAGTTGAAAAGCGGGATCATGTAGTGTGTAGGTGTTTCCAAAACTGCCATTACCCACCGAGCTATGCGCGAAGGTTTTGTATGTAAATTATATTGCAGCAGGTAGTCGTCCCAACGATTTTGCTGCGCAGTTTATAGCGAAGAGATCTATAAGTGGCAGGTTTTGTACCAGATCAAGAACCGCCGTCGGAGTTGTTCTTAAAGCTCCCGTTATGCACAGCACATCGAGCCTCTGAGCCGCAGTTCAGTATTGTAGTCTTACAATAACTGAGTAGCACCAGTGCATTAGAGCGGGACATAGCTCCCGACTCCGCTCCGCTTAATATCATTAAGAATACGATAAAATTTACAAATATTTTCGGTATAAAGTCAGACGAGTACGCTTACATGTGTTTAATATATGAAAAAGAAAGGCAGAATACAGACGAGAGTAGTCGCATATCAGAGCCTCAAAGTTTTACTTCGATAACTTCATTGATAACTATTATAAAATTTAAGCAAACAATTAACTTAAAACGGCTTCATATGAACAAAATTCAAACAACTCCGCAAACCAAACTGGGTTGAGTATAAAAATATATACCACATTTGGTTACAGTTAGATACTAGAAAGTTTTTTTTTTTTCGAAATATACGTGCTTCATTCGCGCATTGACTCAGCCAAAGATTTTCAAAAATGTTGTAGCATCACGTGTATGAATAATAAAACTATATATTTATATACAACTACACCTCTTGTTGGTTTTTCAAACGGATTTTTCAAATTATTATTACCAATTCTCCAAAAACTGCTTTTGAGGTCGTAAAAAGAAAATTTATTACTCATTCACCGTAACCTTCACTTTTGTAGTTATGTGTGTTAGTCATATTCTATATAAGTCACATAGTGATCACGTTCCATTCACAATTTCTTTAATTTGTCAGTCTTCGTAAAGATAAATGGGTTTTAAAACTTTGTTGACGTAATTATAATTAAAACCGCATGCTTCGAATAATCGCAGAAATATTTCGCTAAAAAATATTTATATATCAACCCTTAAAAATTACATACTTAGATACAACTGAGAGTCAACGTAGAGAGACGCTTTTCTGCAAACTAATGACGTAACGATACTTAATGGGAACTCGATTTGCTGGACATGAGTTAATCAATATTTTCGTATGTATGCCTCCATTTTTATGCTTTCTCAACAAGTCGCTCTGAGCTTTACCATATATGGGATCACCTATCTGTAGTTAGGATCATCGAAAACTTATCGTGGTAGTTATAGGTGTATATGTACATATGTATATGTATATCAAACTGATCAAGATGACAAAACTAGTTTCATCTGGAATATTTTTCTGTTATTCCATCGGTATCGGTGCAAGCAAATAAAAAAAAATATAGATTTCGTGATTGTACTAGGTTTGCGTGATTATTGATGTTCAGAAGAGTTTGGTATTGTTGATTTTATTCTTCTTTCTGGGGGTAGTGACCGCTTACGCGATTCTAGCCGAGTTTATAACATCGCACCGGTCGTTTCAGCTTTTTGCAATTTGGCGCCAATTCGAGATACCAAGGTCAGCCAGGTCCTTCTCCACCTGCTCTCTCCAACGGAATGGAATTCTTCCTCCTTCTCTATTTCTCCTGGTGAGTACTGCGTCAAATACTCTCCGACCTGCAGCGTTTTCATCTAATCGGATGACATGACCTAGCCAGCGTATCCGCTGTTTCTTTATTTGTGAACTATGCCCGTGTCATCGTATATCTAGTATAGCTCATCGTTCTATTGGCTGCGGTATTCGCTGTTGCCAGCGCTCAAAGCATCATAAATCTTCCGCTGCACGGACGGGATAATAAGTGACTTGTAGCGTTTGGTTTCTGTTCGTCTTTGTTCGTCGAGACAGGAATTTATTTCTCAATTGCCTACTCAGTCCGAAGTACATTATTGTTGGTGTAATATACTGGTTCCAAGTTAGACGATGAATGTATAAAATAATTGTTTAAAAGTTATAGGTACTCTGGTATCCGATGCTTTTTACTTGATTACCGAGCCTAATATTCCTAAAAATGCTGACATGAAGTTGCTGCTTCAGAATCCATAACATGATAGCCTAGATCTTAAATATAAGCAATAATGAAAAAAATTAGCTCTTTTTCCTGTGAATTCTGAGACTTCAACTCCATACCAAGATTGTACAGGGTTTTGCATTAAATTGGTATTATTTGTTTAAAAAAACATTAATTGTTATGAAGATTCAATCAATCTTGACAATTAAGTTCTGAATATATCATTCAAACTGCCTCCAGATAGAGTACGGTTTATTGCTAACGACCAATGACATCATAACATCATAACAACGGTATTTTGATACAAAACATCGATATCTGCTGAGATTTGAGAAAACACAGAATTTTCACAGTCTCTTTTGAGTTCAATGTTGCACCAACGAGGGCGTTTGCCATGGAATAGGTATTAATCACTTAGCGCTATGTCCGGGCTATATGGTGGACGCGGTAAAACCTTCTATCCAAGCTTCCGTAGCTTCTGACGAGCCATCAACGAAGTGTGTGGTCTCGCATTGTCCTGGTGGAAAACTACACCCTACCTGTTGGCCAATTCTATACGCTTCCCATCGCTCGCCTGCTTCAAACCATCCAGTTGTTCGCAGTAGATTGTATAATTAAGCACTGGCCATATGGGAGCAACTTAGTGGATAATTTCCTTCCAATCTCACCAAACATACAGCAAAACCTTCCTGGCCGTCAGAACGCAATATTAACAAGTAAATAAGGGCTAAGTTCGGGTGTCACCAAACATTTTATACTCCCGCATGATAAAGTGATAATCGAGATTTCAGGCGTGGTTGTGAACCGATTTGAGTTAAGAAAATATTATGTACCGAATTTCATTGAAATCGGTCGAGTACTTCCTGAGATATGGTGTTTGCTCCATAAGTGGGCAACGCCACGCCCATTTTCAATTTTTAAAAAAAGCCTGGATGCAGCTTCCTTCTGACATTTCTTCCGTAAAATTTAGTGTTTCTGACGTTTTTTGTTAGTCGGTTAACGCACTTTTAGTGATTT